AGGTACTGAGATAACAGGAAAGTAGGTACTGAGATAACAGGAAAGTAGGTACTGAGATAACAGGAAAGTAGGTACTGAGATAACAGGAAAGTAGGTACTGAGATAACAGGAAAGTACGTACTGAGATGACAGAAAAGTACCAAATTTTGTCCCTGTAGACTGAATTATCCCAGGGAACCTCAAGGATATAGGAAAACCCTCATGGAAACTTGAGGTCAAACTTCCCATGAAATTTGTGACTGATCAGATTTCTTTCAATGGTCTAACAATTCATCCTTCTTCAAAATTGCGTTTCAAAATGCAGACATTATATCTTATTCACCTTTTCTAATTTCCAACACTTACCAATGAGTCATTACTGATGTCCCTGGCAAAAGGAACTGAAATCTCCTCACACCCTGAAGTAGTCAGATTTAGACTAGAATACAATAGGACAGTAGCTTAATAGGAGACACCTTGCAATCCATTTATTTTTCAACATCAATATCAAAAGTCTGGTAACAACACCACATGCTGTTTTCAGGATAGCACTGTATAAAAATATTAAAAAAAGTTCCCTCAATATTGCAGACAAGTACTGGACAGATTCTCGTTCGACGTCCGGAAGAAAAAAATCTGTGCACAATGAAACCCTCTTCATTCAGGCCACCTTTTTACTATTGCGATCAACAACAACTGCAACAGTGCCACGAAGTGACAGCTTTGCAGGCCCTGGAAACAGGCTTGGCTCGACTTCGCGACAAACTCGCCACTTCCGGTCGCATCGTCAGTGAGCAACTCGACACCGCGGAAGAGAAGCAGGCCTTTGCCCTCTTGTCCACGCTTCTCGACACGCCGCAAGTTATTGAATGCCCCGCCGAAATCGCCAGAGTGTCGAGAAAATTCGTGACGGTGACGTCGCAAGAGGGTTGCTTGGATCCCTGGCTGGATTCGGGACTGACACCCGACGTCGGCGACTGTTTGTGGTCCAGGTGCGACTTGAATTCGACGACGACGACGACGATGCCTTCGTATTGCGTCGGACTGCGACAGGAATCGAATTTCGATGCCGGCTTTGCAATGTACAAGTAGGATCTCAATACAGCGAACTCGTCTCTGTGTGGAAAAAAATTTATTTTGAAAAAACTATGGGTTACATGAATAATTTTTTTTTTATCTGATTTCTAGATCAAAATAAGAGAACAAAAATAAATATAAGCTTTAATGCATGCGTCAACATACTCGGCAATTTTTTTTTAATCTCTCGGACCTACAATATATTTCTCTTGCAAAATCGGATGAAAAATGATTCACTGGGGCTACTAAATTTGCATATACTGTATTTTCTACACGAAAGTAGTTTAGTTCGTTCCTCTCAAAATATCTATTTTTTATTTATTAAAAACTGTTGGGCATGTATATGAGCATGTAAAGTATTTTTAAAAATTCTCGGACCGTCACATGTTGACAATTCGGAAATTTTTATGGATGCGTACAATATTTTTGAAGAGATATGTGACATTTTTAGTTTGCTATCGATTAAATTGTCTGTATTGGAAGTTTTTGAAGCATTTTTCATATGAATTATGTGCCTGTAATTTCGATTAAGCTTTGTTCGACAAAAAAGGATTTTCCTGCCTTTTTATAACGTAATTTTATTTCTTCAGTCCGACGAAGGACTCCAACCCATCGTGTAAAAAATAAAAATGAATACCTGAGAAAATTTTTGATCTTTTTCGTAAATAAGAAATTGAAGCTTTATAATGAAGTATGCGTCAGCAAAAGTGTTATAGTTGCAAGACTTCCTTTGCAAAATCGTGTGAAAATTGGTCAACAACATTCAATAACCAATGAAGTGTAAGAAAATTTCTGTACACTAAAAATCTGATTTTTTCCTTTCCGGAATTTGTAAAATAAAACAATTTTCGGTCATGAAAACGAGTGAGCAAATTAAAAATTTGTCTGACGATCACATTTTCACAATTTCGACATTCATCCGTACGAGTATAAGGGAACATTTTCAAAAGTATTTGCTCAAGTGAATTTTTTGTTTTTTAGTTTGTTGTCGAGGAAATTGATCACATTGCAATTTTTTGAAGCATTATGTATTATCTCATGACTGAAATTTCCAAAAAATTTCTCTGAATTTTTTCTTCTCTGGCCCGTTTTATAACGAAATTTTACCCGTTTAGTCCGACGAAAAAGGACCTCAAACCTTCGTATCAGGATGAAGACTTTGTGCTGGGACCCAAAGGAGACTGTTCTAGGACCTCCACTAACTTTGAAAGCGCAAGTGGAGTCAACAGCGGATCTCGAAGCGCAGTTCTTATTCAGGTGAATACGAACTGCGATACATTTCATCATCAGCGTTGTTTCAAACTGTTTTTTTTTAAATTAAATATCCTTGAAAAAATTAATTTCCTCGGAGAAGTTCGTCAAACAAATTGTAGTATTTGTTTTGGCGTCTTCATCTTGAATTAAAGACGTAGGGGACGCGTCTAATTGTTTGTTTCGTGTTGGACGTCGATCAAAATTCGATTGATTATCCGGTACCGTAATTTTGGTCAATAATTTTTAG